AAAAGAGTCAATAAAGTTAACAGTTGCGGTCGGTTAGAGAATATGTATTTGAAAGTTAAAACTGTGGTAGTTCTATAATACAATTTAAAATCGAAGTTTTGATTATAAATTATTTTTTACGGCAGCCAGTCATAACGGCGACTAGCCTGCCCAGGACAGGATAATAGAGCACAAATATATGCACAAACACAGGAGCACTCTCTATGCAATCCGACACGACTGGGGAGAGATCAGACGCAGAACCAACGGCTAATCCTGCTTTCCAAGCTTCAATCAATAATATAATTGATCGAAGTTTGCAAGGCACAAGGGTGGTACGCCGCATCGTGAATCAGTGCAGCTACTAAGAATTTCTTGACAAATAAACCCAAAAATGATTTTTGACCCGACTGAGGTTGCAAATCTGATACCGTAAGTAATTTATAATAAATTTAATTTATAAACATTTAAAATATGAATAATAATAACAGTTTCATTATTTGAGTATAAATAATGTTGAAAATGAAATCCACTTTTCAAAGCACTGTTTTAGAATTTTTTTAACAATAGGTTTCGTTAAATATTAAACTAATAATTATATACAATAATTAATTAATTTATGCGTCATATTAGAGAATAGCTTAGTAGTGCTCTGATTAATGATGCAATTTGTCGGTATCTTTTTATTTTCCCCTAAATTTTGTGTGGCATTTCATCGTAAATCACAAAGCAAATCTATTATGGTTGTAGCCTTGTAGCACGAATGGGTATCTCTGACCGGGGAAGGAACACACCCTCACAAAATACCAGTTTAATGCTGTGCGCAATAGTCCTTAGGGGTAACAACGCATCTATATTTTGATTCTTAATTCGGGGTAGATGTGGAGTGTGTGGTCATTTGTGTCTTATATATTATAAAATAAAACACGTGATCCTTCTGTGGTACAGTTGATATATATTATATATTATATTCTGACCACATTTAGCCTATAATGCTGTGTACAGACTTACGCAACGTGACATTACAAACTAACATGAAAGGAGCATTTCATCAGTGTGGACGCAGCGCGCGCACGAACCTAACATGTACGTACTCGCATATGTTCTGGATATGCACGAAAACATTGCGTTAGTCTGCTGAAAACACGCGAAGAAAATGTGTCCACAGCTGGTTCAGTTCATGTCCACGCGCTTCTCAACACTATAGTATGTGCCAAATCGATTGAGAAAAACGGACAATGACCTTTCGGCCGTTTAACCTGGGGCTACAAAACTTCAATATATATGCACATTTTATACGTTGTACTTTATTTATTTATAATATTTTTATAATGATTGATATAATATTTATTTATTAACTATTAATAAAAAGTTATGTAAAAATTCGCTGTAGAAGATGAATCGTCTATTGTTATAAAGTAGTTTATTAATTTGACAACAAAAACCATTAATTTATAACACATATTACGTACTTATTTAAAATATAAAACTTTATTTTCAATATTATATAAGAACATTATTTTTATTCGGTGCCATCATTACTCATATCTCGGACCGGCCCAAAAAAGGTGACGCATCTCTGGCTACCAATGTCATGTTTCTTTAAGAATGAACTGATGTAACTTGTTTTAAGTTATTTTAAGGGAATGAATTTGCAAAAGTTCAATATGGTGATTGTATTGCCCCAAATATTTGTTTGACATGAAACTGTTATTAAATTAATTGCTGCGTTACTTACCATAAATTTAAATACAAAATATAACACATTTTTTGCGATGTACCGTAAGATTTTACTATGTCTATAAAAACCACAGACAATATTATTTAAAAACAATAAAAGAAAACTTATGTGCAGACCTAGAAGTGTGAATAATATCATTATTTAAATATTGTTACCACATCTAAATTGAGATTTTATAAGTTACGCCTTTTGACACTCGGCTCATATCTGAGGTCATTGTCCGTTTTTCTCAATCGATTTGGCACATACTATACCCGTCCACACTGGCACTTCGAGCACACTGCGCGCCCCTTTGTGTTCGTTCGAAAAATCGACAAATCCGCACTCGACTTCGACTTCGACGTATTAATCGTAGCGTGCGCATTGAAATGCACTGTTCACGCACGCAAGGCGTTCAAACTATGAAGATTTGTTACTAAGTGTGTTACATTGCATTAAACATTAAACTAATGTGGACGGACAATTATTTCATTTTATGTTACGTTGCGCTAGTCTGTACGCAGCATAAAATGGGTTTAGATAAAAAAAAGTGTGTAACAAGTGATAGGTTGCAAGTCCTTCACCTACTAAATCACAAACCCAATGTTCTTCAAGTAGCCGCCTTTTATGACACGCTGGGCAAGTAGCACAGTTGGCACATTAATTTTTATTACTAGCGACCTGCCCTGGTGTCACCTGGATAGGATCTATTAATTTGACGTTATTTTGATTTAAGATAATCAACGACTATCTATTTTATCAATTTATGAGGATTTTCTTTCAAAAACGTTCAAGATTTTCGGATAAAATATATCGTAGATCCTTCTTGGCAATGATCACTCTCTGTTTGTAAAGTTTCATCACAGCCGAATCAGCCATTCTAAAAATTAGCTCGTATAGACAGACAAACGAACAATTTTTTTAAATATTGTTATTTATGAGTTAACTGCACGGAAAAAACACTGATCATGATAAAACCAGTTATTTCAATATGACGGACAGATATTCCAATTTAATTTTTATGTATTGATAAGTCCTACATTACATACCTATAAGTCCCAGACTAACGTGAGACAGTGAATTTTAATATATTCTTTTCATTAAATCCCTTAAATAAATAAATGTTTATGCACAAACTGTTAAAGAAACAAAATTGAAAATTTAAAGGAAATATTTGACACGTAAAACATTGTAGCAAATCCACTTAGCACAGCTTGGGTGTACATATTTGGTCTCGTAGTAGAAATGAAACAAAACCTGTATGCATTTTTAATGAACGAAAGCGGAGCTTGTGACGCGACGTTCCAAATTCAAAAGGAGCACGTAATTCATTAGACATTTCGGAATATTCTTGCGCATGTAGCGTTTGCTCTTTAGTATTCCGCTGTCATACAAGTCATTACTATTTCGTTCCGATTTCATTCTATATGCCTGTCCTCTTGTAAAATTCTGGAGCTCCCTTCCCTCCGGACCTTTGCAGAAGATAGACGTGTTTAAAAAATCAATCCTTTTGAACTACTTTAAATTAAAAATAATCAGTAAATAAAACTAAATAAATAGGAGTTCATAAAAACAAGAATACTACAATACGAAACAATTAAGTCAGAATACCCTCATCAATACGTGAGTAGCTTAAATTTATCTATTGAGAGATCTACATATAGGGAACAGTTAATGTTATTTACGCAAAACGACCATTGCGTCCAACATACGTGACCTTTGTTTGCATCGAGAGTCTGATTATACTGGACGGAAAGCGTTACAGTTCTCAGACACCGATCGGCGTCCATATTAATAGGCCTCTATAATAGTTACGTCGGGCTTGCGATAGTTTTAACATTTATGTTAACCTTGGTACCTAAACAACAAAATTTTATAAATCGCAAATACGTAAAGTTCCATCGTGACCGTCGGCTACTCGTAAAAATGTCTATAATAATTCTGAACCTTATTTTCCTACTACGCAAGACTCCGACTCTTCATCAACTGTATCGGTGCGCAGTAAAAGAAAGCGATATAATAATGATTACTCAGACGAATTAAACTCATTAAAAAAAGAAATCAAGGATATGTATCATCATCATCTTTACAGCCCTTCACAAGTCCACTGCTGAACATAGGCCTCCCCCAAGGTATGCCACAAAGCACGGTCCTGAGCCACCTGCATCCATCGACTTCCTGCACGTCTTACCAGGTCGAAACTCTATCTAGTAGAAGTTCGATTCTTCAGATTGTAACTGACTACAACAGCCCATACCTGAAACCAACTTTAAACAAAGAATACTGCAGATGTATTGTCATCTATAAGGACTTAGGTGGAATGATTCACAGCCTGTTATGAAACTGGCTCTTTTTACAATTCAGATCAGACCACAGCAGTTTAAGCTATTTGGCAGCTATTCGGCGGCAGTTTTAAGTAATAGAGTAGTAGACTTAAATATTCTAACATGAGACAGATAGTAGCATCAAAGATGCGAACTCAATCCCCCACAAACATCCCAACAGAGACAGATAGTAGCATCAAAGATGCGAGACGTCTAGTATTGGGATTTCCAATTCGCCACTAAGGAACATCTTCCTAACATGAGACAGATAGTAAAATCAAAGATGCGAGAAGTCTAGTATTGGGATTTCCAATTCGCCACTAAGGAACATCTTCCTAACAATGGACCACATAGACATAGTGCACTTTCACACGCTGAAGAAAAATAATTCGAAAACTTAGGAAGCTATAACAATCGCAATTAGTCAGGAGAGCATTATGATAATCAACATCAAATTTCCACTTTTTTACATAGTAGAGCTATGCTGCAGCTATACTAGTAGTATAGTTGTAGCACAAATGGGTCGGCTCGACAGGGGAAGGAACACGCTCCCACAAAATACTAGCGTAAAGTAGCAGCTTAACGCTGCTGTGTTTTGTATGTTGAGTAAGAGAAACTCCTTACCGGAAAGGAGACATTCCATCTTAGTCCTCATGGGTAACAACGCATCTACATTTTAATTCATAATCGAGGATAGATTTAGACGTCTATGATACACAGCAATCACTTACCATCAAGTGGACTGTGTGCTTGTTTGTCACCCTATCCTATAAAAATACTTAGATTTTGTTACGGGAAAGGAATAAAAGACAGCTTTATAGACAATATATTTAATTTAATTAATGTACGAAACTTTACATGATTTTATTAGAAGTGTTGGATTATAATTTATCTTGTTGTACCGTATCATCTACCACTTCTTGTAATCTGTCGTAATATCTGTCATCAAGATTTAATTTCATGTCAGTGATTTCATTTTAACCCAAATCAGGTACATCACTCTCGAGCGTGAAGACTAAAGGAAATATAAATAACATAAATTGCAGACCATAACCCAAGCATTCAACGTAATCTCTTTCAAACTCTTTTGTTGAGTACACTGAACCTATGTCCATTTCAAAATATTTAGGGAAATTGTCCGTTGTCTCGAAGTATATATCCTTCAAGTGTATTAAATGATTCCTACGAAATTCTTTATCAGTGGCTCCATAAATAAAATATAAAAAATTAGTTATTGGAGCTCCGTAGGTCAAGAGCTGATAGTCCACAGGTATTACTTCAGTTACTTCCCCTTCCTGTAAAATAAATAGAGTATAGCTTTAACCTTTAATAAATAGGCTTTATTACTTTTTTTATTTACTTACATCCAAAAAGGTTTTATTGAATTCTTATTTACTTTAGTACTAAAAATAATTATTTTCAAAATTATAAAAGCTCGATAAGCGTCATGAGCATTTAGCAACATCAAGCAGCGATCGAAATGCTAATCTCTAAATATAAAAATAGTTGCTGGTCGTTAGTCTCGCTAAAATACTCAATAACGATTTTGATCAAATTTTTTGTGTGTGTTTGAGTTGGTCCCTGAATGGTTTAAATTCACAATCGGAGCCTGTAGGTGGCGCTGTTGTTGAGTTTTACAAATCACAATCGGAGCCTGTTGTGGCGCTGTTGTTGAGTTTTAGAAATTCACAATCGGAGCCTATAGGTGGCGCTGTTGTTGAGTTTTAGAAATTCAGAATCGGAGCCTGTAGGTGGCGCTGTTGTTGAGTTTTAGAAATTCACAATCGGATCCTGTAGGCGGCGCTGTTGTTGAGTTTTACAAACATCGGAGCCTGTAGGTGGCGGGTGTTTTTAAAATTCACAATCGGAGCCTGTAGGTGGCGCTGTTGTTGAGTTTTAGAAATTCACAATCGGAGCCTGTAGGTGGCGCTGTTGTTGAGTTTTAGAAATTCACAATCGGAGCCTGTAGGTGGCGCTGTTGTTAAGTTTTAGAAATTCACAATCGGAGCCTGTAGGTGGCGCTGTGGTTGAGTTTTAGAAATTCACAATCGGAGCCTGTAGGTGGCGCTGTTGTTGAGTTTTAGAAATTCACAATCGGAGCCTGTAGGTGGCGCTGTTGTTCAGTTTTAGAAATTCACAATCGGAGCCTGTAGGTGGCGCTGTTGTTCAGTTTTAGAAATTCACAGTCGGAGCCTGTAGGTGGCGCTATTGTTGAGTTTTAGAAATTCACAATTGGAGCCTGTAGGTGGCGCTGTTGTTGAGTTTTAGAAATCTCCCGTGCACAGACGGGGCAAATCGCTAGTAAAAAATAAATATAGACAATACATAATACACAAGATGCATTCCTAAATCGAAATTAATTGAAAAAAAATTTGCGTTATTCACTCTGAGTATTATACACTTGTAAATAATATGCAAATTAGAGAGCTTAAATGTATATTTTCGTGATAATGTCATATACATAATATGTTTACTGTAAGTGTACTTGTTGAATATATAAAAAATAAACTAAAGTAAATGCGAACAATTTTTTATACATTCATGCCAGCCATCCTTCAGCTATATTTTCGTTGTAGCACGAATGGGTCGGCTTGAACAGGGAAGGCCCTCGCTCGCACTGAATATAAGCGTAAAAAGCAGCTTAATGCCGCAGATGAAGAAAATTATACTAGAACTATAAATAAGCTGGCGAACAAATACAATCTATTGTTCGATATATAAAAGAATAAAGAGGACGAAAGGGAGGATGTGGTAAATCCTCATGGTAAAAATATTGTAAAATTATACCTAAATGCCGATTTACACTTCGACAAGTAATGTACCTAGTGAGTTTTGTTACAGGACTGTTGACAGTAAACGGTTAAGTGGACAGTGGCGTTCAAATGTCTTAGTGGGTTTAGTTAAAAAAGTTTATTTTTTTTATTTTGAGGGCGAACGCGAACACGTAGCATCCAATCAACTTATGCATTGAACTAAACTCGCTCGTTCACGCGAGCAGCGAGTATAGTTAGCGCATGGCGGAGACGTGCGGGAGGAAAACGCTTCAAACTTAACTCGCAAAAAAATAGACCGACCTTCTATCCTGTTCCACTCAATTGTTAATTTGCTACTTAACTCACTGATTGCCGTTCAAATAAGATTTTCTACTTAACTAGTCCGGATCGCAAGTTAACTTGCTACTGTACTTGCCGAAGTGTAAATCGTCCCTTAACTAAATGTAACTTGTTAGCTGTAGTGAGCTAAATACAGTATTTATCGCCAGCTGAATAAAATTTACAACAAAGCAATAAATGAATGTCATACACGGCCTTGGTAAAAAAAATCATAACAGATTTGTAATATGTTAAATATGATAAAAGTACGTATGTAAATACGATGATGAATATAATTACCACTAACTACATTAATACGTTGTTCATTCTGTAACCACCATGACATAAACACTTTACTTTCGTTTCATCACCATTTAAATACTTTAAGTAATTTTCCAATAATTCGGGTAGTGCTTGTTCAATTTTTTTCCTTACTTCTGAATCCAATCCTTCAACAGAGTAGTTGAAGAATGTTCTGCAAAAGGCTCGAAAATCGTCGTTTAATTTAAGAGATTGTTTAAGTGTTTTGATTTTTCTTTCAAAATACTCTGGCCTTTTTTGTTGTATGACAAAACTTAAACCATGGAACCTGGCCAGTTGTTGCACAGCCAATTCAGCAAACTTTAAAGGCATAACATCCATTCTATAAAAAGTAGCAAAACCTTCTTTTGCTACATTTTTCAGTATAATGGCTTCCGTGCTACTTTCACTATAAGATTGGACAACTCTGAACCTTTCATGTAAAGGCACCTCTGCTTCGATTTGAAGCTCTGTGAAAATTGCACTAAGTTCTCTATAGAGAAATAATCCCTAAATATAGTTCAGAAACATAACATTCAGTATTCATTCGATATAGCATATTTAATGAAAATATTGGTTTCTTTTTCTCCGTCACATGTTCTTCCTTTAATATCAACTTCTTAGAGTAGGGCCAAACAGTTTCCGCCCTCTGTAGAAATAGTTCTATGCAATATTTTATGGGATAAGTAACCTTCTTCTTCCGCAATTTTGTTTATAGCTTTTTGTATATTAGGTGGTAATTTTTCTCTGTTTGAACACACTAGTTTTTGTAAGATGAATTCACAACATTTTTCTTTTCGAGACATTTTAGAAGCAAAGAGTTTAGATCTTGAACCAACAAACTAAGAACGCTATACGAAAAAGTTAAGTGTTAAAATATAAAACTATGCCTAGAACTCGATGAATTATATAGACGCCTATGTTATTAGGACTATTCCACACTCACCGCTTTTACCTTTTATCTAATAACGCGATAGTAGAAAAGTATTTTTATAAAAATAATAAACATCACGAAACTGACCGTTCATTTTTATACATTCCTTATACATTATCAAGTAGTTAAAAGATAAAAATACTATGATAAATATAAATTGGGAACAGCTGACAATCGAGGACTGACAATAAAATAAAAACTTAAAATATTATAAAAATATCTTTACAATTATGTACGTTTATCAGGGACACTCCTTTTTAATATTGTTTTGATCATAAATGGGTCACCAAAATGCCCAACTTTTATCTACAATAATTGTAATAAATTACTTTATATACAAAAAGCCAGTACGAAAAGAAATAAGTAATGTAAATTACGATACTTAGATCTATAAGACTTGCAATACAAAGGACCTAGTAAGTTTATGTGTTTTGGATTGAGTGCGTAAATAACTGACCAGACATAATTTAAGTGCATAATTTATTTCTGCACTCAGTATGTTAGTAGCAATATAGAAGAAATTGTCAAAAATTTATTTTCTCAGTCACAATAATCTTAGTGTGTTAAAGATTACAACTTAAAAAAAGATTTTCATATTAAAAGTGCATTAAAGGAATATCTGAAACCTTGGTTACGACTGCTCTTCTGTCTCCAACTTATTCAGTTTGTACAAAGAATTTCGAAAACGAAATTCAATTTTGATCTTATGACTGCTCATCATTATTATTAATAATTAAATTCAATATAAGGGGGCGTCAAAAATAATCTTAAAAGATATATATTAAACAATAAAATTACATTAATAAGCATAAAGTTAAGATAAATACATTTCAGACATTAGACAAATATTATAGTAAATTAAAGGCAAAATATTGTCTTTCAAAAATAAATAAATTTATTTAAAAAAAAACTTTAAAAGATGTTTAAAACATGATAAATAATAGTAATACAAGTCGAAAATATAAAAATTATATATTAGTACAAAAGAAAATTTTCCTAAGTTATGGAGGGTGTTCATGATGCTGCAGGAGACGCATACCCAAGTTCGTACATATATATGGCGTGGTCGGGTGCCCGACTGCTTGTAGTACTGTAGCACAATAGCTAGTCCTATTAGGGACATATAATAGTAAGGTCTATGATACAAAAGAATTATTATAGAAGGTATCCTTGATGCATAAGCATTATATGGGTTGTTCGCGTGACCGACTGCTCTTAGTACTGTAGCAAAATGACTAGTATTTTGCTACATATTATATTAGGGACTTGAAAAGGATTATTATATGTGGCATGTATGCTGCTTCACGAGCAATTAGTCCAAGGTAAACTTGGACTCGCTAACCGATTTGTCCTCGACATATCATCTTTGTGCCGGTGGTAAGCGTGTTTGTTGTAGCAGTACGGCTTTCCCGTGGATATCGCAAACCCATATCGTTTGTGGGCGGCGTCGTAGCGCATTGAGATGCGTCGTCTCTCTTTCGGATTGGGATGAGTGTGTTTGGTAGCATTACAATCTGAACCAAAGGTCAGATCCCACTATGTAAAAATTCTAATCATTACTGACCGGGAAATTACGTATTGCTGCACCAAGATTAAATTCAAATTTGAAGGAAGAGATCGATCGATAGATCGTTAACTCTCTAAATAAAAGACAGTGCCGCGCGGGTAAATTAGAGTTAAAAAAAAAAAGTTAAATAAGTATGACTCATGGTATCCAAAGGTTGTTGGTTTTGTTATTTAAAGGGACGGAATAGGATTATATCTCTTCATTGAGTTATATGTACTACGTCCTATATAAGCTATTCTAAACAAAAAATGTGCCCTACTCTGTATCCACACATACGCGGGAAACAGTAGAGACTTGTTTGCGTAGTTAATATAAACGCGCGAAAATTCTTATAATAAATAATTGTTTATTTAGTATTATTGTTAATCAAGTACGTTGATTTAATTTTCGTATATTTTGTATATGTGCTATTTAATATAAAATTATTATTAGTACCGGTCCGCACTGCATGAATATCAAAGCCACATTAAACTTTTTTACGTGGTGGCCATGCTGCAGTTATATTGGTAGTATAGTTATAGCACGAATGGGTCAGCTCGAACGTTAAGACCACGCTCTCACAGAATACCAGTGCCAAATAGTAGTTTAATGCTGCTGTGTTTCGTATGGTAAGTGTAGAGAACCGGAGACCCTATTTACTGGAAACGAGGCATTCCATCTTAGTCCGCAGGGGTGAAAACGATTGATTCGTAATCGAGGACAGATTTAGATGTTTATGGGTCACAGCAACCACTTTCCATCAGGTGCACTGTGTGCCCATTTGTCATCCTATCCCATTAAAAAAATAGGTGCATGGATTGCAGTACAGTTCAGTTGAACATAGTGAGTATTCAGAATTCCATATCTAGTGCGTAATACATATAATATATCGATGTATCTATTCGATGTTCCCAATAAAAGTAATTTAAAACTAGGAATAAAATGAGATGGCACATACTGTGGTTAAACAACTGACATCAATTAAGAAAAGAATGATTATAAATTTCTTTGCAAAAGAAGGTCTTATAAAAATAGTACTCTTGAATTCATAGAAGATCTCGACTCATCTCTTGATTTGAACTGAAGGGACCATTGAACTTACAGTCTACCTGATGGTAAGTGGCTTCTGCAGTCTATGGACAACTGCTGCCAACTTCATACGAGTACAATGAAAGCTACAGATGCATTGTCAACCCTAAGGTCTAAGAAAAAATGCCTCATAGCCTCTAATAATACTGACTTTCCAAACTTTAATCCGAGAGAATCAGCAATGCAGGCATTGTTATTTAGTGACATAAATCATCAAGACGACCTACGCAGACGGATTCCTGTGCAGAATAGAAAGTTTAAAGTTAGTTTAGGTAAGTCCAACTTTGACCGTGAGGTCAATCGACGGATTCAACTCGGCTGGACAGCGTTCGGGAAATTACGACACATCTTCTCGTCAGGTACACCACAAACTCTGAAAACTCGGTTGTATAACCAGTGCGTATTGCCAGTAATGACTTACGGATCTGAGACGTGGTCCCTGAACGTGGATGCTCAAGGTCGCTCAGCGAGCTATGGAGAGGGCTATGTTCGAGGTTTCTCTGCGTGATAAACTTAGAAATGACGATATCTGCAGCAGAACCTGGGTGACCGACATAGTACATCGGATTAGTAAGCTGAAGTGGCAATGGCCCGGCCATATAGCTTGAAAAAACCACAACCGATGGGAAAAAAGGATCTCGAGTGGCGGCCTCGTACCGGTAGGTATAGTGTAGGACGACCCCCACTAGATGGAGTAACGACCTGGTAAGTCATGCAGTAAGTCGCTGAATGTAGGTGGCTCAGAACTGTGCTTTGTGGCATTTGGGAGAGGCCTATGTTCAGCAGTGGACTTGTGAAGGGCTGTAATGATGATGTATTTTGATAAAATAATTAAAATAGATGTTTTTATCCCAATACACGGAAAAAAATGACATTGAAGTGGACAGTTTTGGTGATTTTATAATATTGTTTTTTAAGTTAAATCGAAATATTTTCGTAATTTAGGCTTTGCTATACACAAAAGACAATATATTCTATTATAATAACGCTTAAAATAAAGTATTTTAGCTGATAGTAATGGTTGTATTCGACCTAAAAAATTACTCTGACGCGAATTTTCGTGAAACACTATGAAGGGATTGTCTTCGCTGTAAAAACTGTCTTTAAAAACTATGATTTTGCATTGCATCCCAAATAATGCTATAAATCACGGTCCTGAGCCACCTACATCCATCAACTTCCTGCATGTCTTACCAGGTCGTTACTCCATCTAGTGGTGGATCGCCCTACACTACGCCTACCGGTAATAGGCTGCCACTCGAGAACCTTTCTTCCCCATCGCTTATCGGTTCTTCGAGCTATGTTTCTGGCCCATTGCCACATCAGCTTACTAATCCGTTGAGCTATGTCGGTCACTCTGGTTCTACTGCGGATATCCTCATTTCTAAGTTTATCACACAGGGAAACCCCGAGCATAGCCCTCTCCATAGCTCGCTGAGCGACCCTGAGCGTCCTCATACGAACAGCAGTTAAGGACCACGTTTTAGATCCGTAAGTCATCACTGGCAACACGCACTGGTTGTACAATCTAGTTTTCAGAGTTTTTGGTGTACCTGACGAGAAGATGTGTCGTAATTTCCCGAACGCTGCCCAGCCGAGTTGAATCCGTCGATTGACCTCACCGTCAAAGTTGGACTTACCTAGTCAGACTATTCATCCCAGATAAACGTACTCGTCAACAACTTCGAGCGTAGTGCTCCCAACAATTACCGGCATAGGTGTGACATGGACATTAGACATGATCTTTGTTTTGTCCATGTTCATCTTAAGACCTATATGTTGGGAGATACCATTGAGGTCATTGAGCATAGTGCTTAGGTCCTCCAGCGATTCTGTTATAAAGAATATATCGTCGGCAAATCGAAGATGAGTGATGTGCTAGCCATTGATGTTTATACCGTATCTTTTCCAGTGCAGAAGCTTGAAAACGTCTTCCAATGCAGCGGTGAAGAGTTTCGGGGATATTACGTCACCCACAACATCTCTCTGCATTTGGATAGGTTTCAAACTCTGGTTCTGTACTCGGATAGCCATCGTAGCCCTACTGCTCTATAAGTAGCCCCGGATCCCTGACTACCTACACAAAATTTCATGGAAATCTGTGCAGTAGTTTTTGCGTGAATCTTTAATACACAGACATACAGACAGACAAAAATTCTAAAAACCACTAATATGGCTTCAGTACCCTTCGTTTGGTCCCCTCGACTTGTTTTTTATAGAAAATATTAGAATTACTG